GACGAAGGCGAAGAGCTGGATAGAGCGTTTGGTGGTCTGGACGTGAAATGAGAGCTGCGCGATGATGTTCTGAAATACAATATACCGGGATAGCTTGGGTGAAGGCCATAAACCGCGCCATGGCCGCTGAAACCGCTGCAGGTGGATGCTATGGGCCCTTGCTTTGGCGGGGATAGTAGCGCACTTCCTTCGTCCCAAACCACGATAAAGTTCAAGCTTGTGCGCACCGTATTCTGCAAGAGATCACCAGTGCAGGGCGCTCTGCATCTGAACCAGCTGAACCGCGGCAGTGCGCGACCTGCGCCAACAAGAGCACAGCCATATAACCATGCGGTACCGCTGCAACTAGCTCAAGCAATCTCACAACAAACTCATCTAGCCTCAGAAATAATAATATCCAATATTCCCATTAATCTTCCACAAAAGTACACCTAGTCAAATTATGAAACGACGTAGAAACCAACCGTGGTAGACAGAACCCCACCCGCCCGGCGGATATCAACTGCCATCACCAGCAGCTACTGATAATCTAACTTTTGCTCCGCCCGCAAAGCTCCATCCATCATCTTCTCTTTTTCCCACCCTTCACCACCAACCACACATCCTCAACCTCCCACCTCGAAAACAACCAAATCCGAACCCCAAAATGGAATCCATCACCGCACCCCCCGACACAACAACCTTCATCCCCCTCGCCGAGCACCAATCCCGCACCCCAAGCTCCTTCCACTCCGGCCCTCCAATCCTCTACTCGCAGCACCAAAACTGCAAACTCGTGCTCCTGGAGCGCGAAGCCCTCGCAGTCCCAGCACTAGGCGCTCTGCGCGATGCCTCCACCGCAAACGGCACTACCGAAGAAGCGGAAGACAAGGAGATCGTCATTCCCGGCGTGAACGTATGGGTTACGTCTGAGTGAGTAACCTCCCATCCTCCATCCAAAACCAATACAATAGCCAAAACGAGAAAGCAAACCATACTAATGAGAAATGATAACCAACTAGAAAATTCCTCCTCCACAACCCCACAACCAACACCGGCCTCTCAATCCCCTACCCCTCCATCTCCCTGCACGCCATCCAGCGCCTGCAGCTCCCCAACACAGAATCCCAGGTCCAAGCCCAGGTCCAAGGCCTATACATGCAGTTCGCCAACCCAACTACCTCCTCCTACTCCTCCGCCGACGACGAAGAAGACGCCCTCACCGTAACAGTTGTGCCCGAGACCCCCGCTCGAGAATCTTCTACCCTCGCCGCCGCTGAAGAAGGAGACGAAAAGCCCGAAACGCCCACCCAGACCCTCTACGCTGCTGTGTCGGCGTGCTCGAATCTGCATCCGGATCCGGTTGAACCGGGCGATGAGGACGAGGATGATTACGAAGAAGGGGGGGCGTTTCAGTCTGGGTTAGTGTCGATGGGGAGTGCGGAGGGTGGATTGCCGCCCCCGGTGGAGGGGAGTCCGGGGTGGATTACGGCGGAGAATATGCATGAGTTCTTTGATGAGGAGGGGAATTGGATTGCTGGTGGGGAGGAGCCGACGTTGCCTTTGGGGCCTGGGGCGGGGACGGTGAGGCAGAGGGAGGAAGGGGAGGGGGAGGGGGTGGATGGGGAGGAGGGTGTTAATGGGGATGGTAGTGGGGAGGAGACGAAGTGGAGGAGGACGGATTAGATTGTTTGTTGGTCTATCCAGCTCTCTTTCTTGGTCTCTGCTTGTGTACTATCTCTACTTAAACCGATGGTGTGTGTGTTGTGGAATACTTTTGTAAAGTTAGATGCTACTTAGTCACTTGTTATGAAACGGATCAATTGCCAAGTACTACTTTGAAGGAGATTAGTGACCATCATCTTTAGATTAAATTTTTATTAATCCTACCTATTACCTACGTTCATCTTTACAGTGGAGGGTAGACACGCCCGCACGCTAGCCAAGCAAAGGAAACAAGAGAAACAATCAACGCCGCTATCAACTATCGGTCCATTCATGCGCCCTATTCTTTCAGGAACCCATCTCCATCATACAAACTTCCAGGCGTGGCAGCCCCGATTCCCAGTCCAACAGGCTTTTTCGTCGGGGTTCGAAATCCGTGTCGGGAGCTGCCAGGGCCGGGCTTCAATCGGTGGCTCTTTGACCGCCCAACTTGGGTTGAAGGTTCGCTGGGCGAAGTAATTGAAGAATTCCTGGGACCCTTGCCCTTGGGTTCCAAAGCCCGGTCTTCCCAAATGGGAACTATGATGCCGCTGTTCGCAGTTGGCGGCTTTGGCACAGCGGCTGCTGGCCGCCAGAGCTGCGCCTGAGAATAGCTGATCGGAGAAACAATGTGATGCGGACTACCCTGGTACCGCGGGGCCACCATGTTTTTGGGGTCGTTCTTCGAACGTAATGGTGATTCGGCTGTATTGCGTACCGGTTCCTTGCCCATGCTGGGACCGCGCGAATGACGCATCGGCGGACTTGACTGTGTCATGGCATTATCATCGAGGGGGTTCAGTGAGCGGAAGCTGCTGCGTGCTGTTGATCGCGGCGGAGGTTGACGCGGCCCCTTGACGGCTGTACGGCGTGGACTGCCAGGGTTCGAGAAGTTTTCGAATCCCGTCGGCGAGCTGTTGTAATGCGGAATCATCCAGACCGGACTGTTCTTTTCCGGAGATGGCGTAGTCGACAGGTTGGTATCAATCCTGGGGGGCGGTAGAGTCGTCACAATATCAGGCAATGTCTTCTCCATGTCCATGATATTCAGAGTGCGATCCCCGGCATCAGTAGGTGAGTTCACCTTGAGCTTCGGCGGTCCTCCCTGTGAGGATTCATCTGGAATCTCCGTAACTCGTGGGTTTTCCTTCTGTTGCTCGTCATAGCTGGCCCGACTCACTGAAAGGCCTGAACCGTTGGACTGAAGTGAAACATGGGAGATTGATGGATTGGGAACTTGTGCCCGGCTGGTATCAATTTCGTCGGTCTCCTCGGGCTCCTCGGCCGTAGGCGAGAAGACTGGGCCACCAAACGTGATTGGAGGATGTATCGAGATCCGAACGCAGTTCTGCCGCCGATGGCCTTTGCGGGTGCTACTGCTCCCTTTGAGTGCAGAGGGCAGAGGGGGTTTAAGATGACTGTTCGGGCCTAGCAGAGGACCATCCGGAATCCCAGTGGTACTAGGCTTCAATCGGGGGTCAGTGCTCAAGGCAGAATTGCTCATCACGTTGTAAAACGGATCGAGCTCGTTCTTCTGATCACCATACATCGAACGGCGTTGCATTTGACTGAAATGTGGCACTAAGGCTCCATTGGGTACTGGATTGAGGGAAGGCGGGCGGCTCAGATCCAGAGGCTTCACCCACAGGGATGAGTCTCGCTTGGCTTTGATTTCAGACAGAGACTCGGTTCGTCGTGGCGATGGACTGACGCGTTCCGTCGAATGAGTCGGGCTCCGTGTGGTCATGCTTCGACGCGGAGAAGAGCGAGGTGATGATTCAAGTCTCCTGGCTTCCCACGCGGTGCCAGAATTTGACGGGAAGACGAATTGAGATGGTACGACTGGAGCTGGCCCAAGGCCTCTTCGATCATATTCCATCCGTCCAACATCATTGGCATCATACGGGGCGAATGTGGGACATGGAGGCAAAGCGGGCGATGTGAAAGTACTGTCGACATTTGTCGACGTTCTTCTGCTGTCCTCCAGAATGGAGCTGTCTGCGGTTTCGAGACTCAGCGAAGAGAGACAAGTTGAGTCATTCCTTGACAAACGGAAGCGGTTTGGCGGATAGGCACACGGTGGTGGAGGTACAGGTTGATCGGGCGCAGACCCGGCCGTTTGAGCAGTGATGCTTCCCCCACGTACCCGACCATTGGATGGGTTGCAACCGCCTTGTTTATCCTCCATGAGCGGGTACAGGCTGCCGGACCGCTCCCTATGATGCTTCAATGGCCATGTCCCCGAGCCTGGTCGGTTTGTGAGACTTGCTTTCAATTGCTCTTCTTCTCGGTCTGGTGTATGCCGCGGTGTGGTCTCCGTTGCTAGCTCGAACGCACCCTCGACAGCAGAGTTCGGCACGTTATCGTCGATTCCAGATACTGTAGGTGAAGCCGATTGCCGCTTCTCTGAATGCTCCGTTAGTGGGGACAGTGAGCTGAGTCGTTGCGGTCCTAGGAGGTGTCGTGACAACCGCGCAGAGCGGCTTGAAAGAGACCGTGATAGTGAACGACGCATGTCACGGGCTTTCTCGTCCAAGGGAGATGACGTGTCGGAGTCCGTAGGGGATAGAATCAGGCTCTCGCGAGATGAAAGGACTCCCCACTCAGACGGCTTTCCATATGGGAGCTGTCCATACTGTCGTAGTGCGGTGCCCTCCTCCCGCGAGAGTTCTGTCAGCGTCTCCCCCTGGTATTGTTGTAGAGCAAATCCATCCTGCTTCGCGTTTGCCACCGCCAGCGACAAGCGATCCTGACGGACTCTTATCCAAATAACCGTGCCAACTATCGCAGACACAATGAAGAGGACGGAGCAGCTCACGGCTATCGCTATTACCGTGGTCAATGGCGGCATTGTCGTTTCTTCCTGCTCTCGGTGCCAGAGCTGGCAGAACCTGGTTCCTTTAGACTTTGAGTGGACGCTTCAACCCCATACACTCGAGCTGGTACCTGTCCCAGTGTCTATACCAGTTCCGCGATGGTTCCGGACGGCATTCAACGGCGCCGAAGACCAGGCAAGAGTAGCAACTGCTAGCCACGGAAACGCCAGCACAAGGATAATCAGAGAACAGAGAGATCCATGATGGATGGGAGGAAACGCGCTCGTGAGGGAGCGTTGCGTTTGTTATGGCAGCCGGCTGGGGCATGGGAATGTGGTAGCATTATTGTCGGCTCGCGAGGAATGCTGCGATATCAACCAACCATCCTTCCCAGCGAGCTATTGACTGGCGGTAGGGAGCCCTCATCAAACTGAAGCTCGGTCCCAGAATTCCTGTAATGTCTCGATTTAGAAAATAAGTCGAGAATAGACCATCGCCAAGATGCTAGCAGATCTACAGGAGGCCGCAGAGTTTCCACTGATAACTAGAAGAATGTTAGCGAAACCGTCAAGAATTGAGCACCCCTGGAGCTCGTGGAACATGGTAAATTCCAACGAGTCCCTCTTCATGGAGACCATTATCGTGCAACTACTTTCGCTTGTAGTGTTGGTTATTAACAGCAAACCACTACTTTGTAAAGGACTATGTACGTCCTGGGTTGAAGGAATCCAGTAGCCCTTCTTGGCATGCCAAATGGCACCGCATGCAGGCTCAAGTATGAGAAAACCACGAGTATATCACAGAAGGCATGAAACACCTGCATTAGCAACGCAGCTCCCTGCGCGTGTCTTTTCTTCTTCTCACCTTCGCGTGGTAAAAGCGCAAGTGGAGGTGGAAGTGGAGATTCCCTGGGAAACCCCAATCGGGCAGCCGCTGTCACGGGGGTGCGGGACGGAAATACGACGAGTCCGGATCCGCCGGCCTCTCGGATTTGAAACAAACGAGGTTGACTAATGCCGAACTTACTCAGTGTTCATGTCTCGTGTCTCCTGATATTTCCGAGGTCATCGTCTGATTGAGGCCGTCAGATGCCAGAGGGTCCCCGATCCCGATACCGATGGGGACTTCAGTGAGATAAAGAAAGCAAGCGAAAGCTGCAGAAGCAGGGCATGGGGCGCCTGTTGTCAACCCACGCCCGGATACCCCCAGTCTGGGCGTCTTCACCCGCCTTGGAGACTATGGGACCGCTTAGCGTCAGTAGAACCCACCAAGACGAGAAAGCTGGATGGAGTGAGCGTGGCCAGTCGGGGCAACTAGACTTATCCTCGATAGCCAACCCCAAACTCTGAATAATGCGAACTCCAGAGTAGGAGCCAACCAACTGCATAGAGGGGGGCAATGGCCCAGTTAACCCCTCACCGGCGCGGGGGGCTCCTAGTGGGCTTGCTGTCCTAATAGTGTTTTCGTTGCTGGCCGTAGTGGTGTGTATATCTAAGCTCCAATCTACGATATAAAGCTGCCCGCCACCTGGCTAGGCTGTCTCACATCTTCACTTCGTTCTCTCCCGACTCTCCTGCGTTACCTGAGAACTTTCTCTCTTTACACCCCCTTTCCACCCATAGATCCGATAATGGCTGCCAGCCCTCAGAAAGATGGACTCTTTGTCCATGACAACACTACCGCTCCCGCCCACCCCGGCTTGCTGAGCATGTTCTCACTGAAGGGCAAGACTGCCATCGTTACAGGCGCCGGTGCTGGCATCGGTCTTGCCGTAGCTAGTGGCCTGGCTGAAGCCGGTGCAAATGTGGCCATGTGGTATAGCAGCAACCCTAGCTGCATCGAGCGGGCCGCGGAGATTGCCTCCAAGTATGGTGTCCAGGGTCAGTAGCCCTCAGACCATTTTCCCCACTTACCGCCTGGCATACTTTGCTAATGCTCATTCCAGCCCAGGCGTACAAGGTTGAAATCACCAAGCCCGAAGCCGTGCAGGAGGCCGTTGACCAGGTTGTGAAAGACTTCAACGGCCGACTGGACGTTTTCATTGCCAATGCCGGTGTCCCCTGGACTAAGGGTCCCATGGTCGACGGTCCGCTGGACCACTACCAGAATGTGGTTGATGTCGATCTGAACGGGACATTTTACTGCGCCAGGGCGGCAGCAACCCACTGGAGGAGACAGAAGGAGGAGGGCACCGATATCAACGGTAACGCACTTAACAACTTCACCTATGGCAGCTTTGTGGCGACCGCTTCCATGAGCGGTCACATTGTCAACTTCCCTCAGATGCAGGCAGCATACAATGCCTCCAAAGCGGCCGTTATCCATCTCTGTAAGTGAAGCGGCCTTGGAGGAATGGACTTGCATCGTACTAATTCCTTATGCAGGCAAGTCGCTGGCTGTCGAGTGGGTCAGATTCGCACGTGCCAACACCGTCTCCCCGGGATACATCGCAACAGAGATTTCGAACTTCATTCCAACTGAGACTAAGACCGTCTGGAAGGATAAGATCCCCATGGGTCGCGAGGGAACGCCCGAGGAACTGAAGGGCGCGTATCTGTACCTGGCATCGGATGCATCCAGCTACACTACTGGAGCAGACATTGTGGTTGACGGCGGCTACTGCGCCCCATAAGCTTTTGATGATATAGATGGCATTTTATGATCTGTACATTTTAACTTGCAGCGATACATATGAAAGATATATTACACGATAGACGAAATGAACGACTGGACTTCTTCGCGATCAAGCCCGTTCGTGGCGCTTCTTAGATTCAACCACACCCGGTCAAGGCCAAGGAACCAGGCCAACCACTTCCAGCCAACCACTACCATAGATCCCTGCATAAGCCGTGGCTTGCAGGTTGCAGGACATCAATACTGGGGATCGGCGGTGACGTAGGTCCACGATCGCGTGAGGTCCCCCGGAGTAGATCACAGTAATGTGACCTACTCTCACCCACACACGAGGCACCTTAGCATGTCTCTCTATTATGTATTATCCCATAACGACCGACAAAAAAAATGAAACCCATCCGCTCAACTAGTAGAACCAGAAGAGAACAGTCACTCCTGTACCTTTTCCACCACCCACTTCACCACCGAATCCACCATCCCATCTACCCATTCCCCTTCATCTTCATCTCCATCCACACTATAACAATCGTCTCCCATCTCCGGAATAATTGGGAAGGGCGGCTCCATGACCCCCGGGTATATGACGGATGAATCCGGGTCGAAGTATCTCGAGAGAGGGGTTGCGGGGGGAGCAGCATAGCCATTGGTGGTGAAATGGTGATCACTGCAGCAGGATGTTGTGTTCGTGTTAGTCATCTTTTTTTTCATTTATGTCATTGTGCGTGGGATGTATTCCTCAAGGCGTGATGTGCTTGGTAGGTTCAGTAGGAAGGATCAAACTAAAGGGTAATAGTCGTAGATCTGATGTGGTTGGTCTTGGAACGTTGGGGATGTACTACCAGTAGTACTGGTACTAGTATACATACCGGTGCAGATGATCCAGTTCGACTTCGTGTTGGTAAACGGGTAGGCGGGTGTAATTCGGCGTAATATATTTTCGGAATATGGAACGGATGGCCTTGCGGTGCTGAATTAGGAGGAAGAGGAGGGAGAGAAGGAGACAGGTTGTTGGGAAGAGAGGGATCATGTTGATGGAGTATGTAGATGTTTATTCTCTTATTTCTCAGGCAGAAATCTGTCAGTGTCGAGAGGATGTTTTTAGTACGTGATGTGGATATATTACTACCATCTAAACAAACAAGACATTCCTTAACAACATCATTTGAACAGTGGATATTAATTTCTGGTAATTACTCTGATCGATCTCTTCCTTCAGTCCTCGTCTACTCGAAATAGTAAGTATATGAGGTAACTGAGCCGGATCGTTAGTCCGAAGTGGTTATCAAGACTGACGCATCTCTTCAGTCATGTCAGTCATGCCAGTCATATATCAACTAGAAGATATTATCATTCCCACAATTCATTTCCTTGCCTACTAATATCCACCTTTACTACAAAACCCAAGAAAGAGGAAAAAAAACCATGGCCGAACTTCCACTCTTTTCTTCTCTGAGAGAAGAGCTGAATTCACCACCTAAGATATCAATCCAAATCTTAGGATCAAAGCTCACAGACGAACAGGTCAAGGAAATTGACTTTGATCTTTGGGTTGACTGTACGAAGATGGTTGGAATCAAGTCGATTAAAGCATCAACTAATACCGAAGAATTATGTCACACCTGGCAAAACCCATCCCAACAAAAGGACAATCCCGAAGATATGCTGGAAAGATGGCTGAACTACTGGTTGAATGACTGTGCAGAAACAGACAGAAGGTCAGTATTTATCTGCCCCTTCCCCTTGGTTCTCCCTGTCTGATACTGATTAATATATTTTATCCAGCTGGACACTGCACAAGTCAGTTATTTTTGCGCAGGAGGAGCTCGGCGCGATGAAATTCCACATAAGACTCCTGGCACGCGAAGCCTTTTATCGGGGCTCGATTGAAGTCATTTTACATGCGCCCTCTTCTGAGCTCGATTATAATCCTCTGGGTTACGAGAGCGCAGACAATGCACGGCTTCAGGTTGAATGGAGTTTTGAGTGCCCTTTCATGCCCACTGACCACAACTCGAATTCCATACTTCAGTATGCAATGAAACTGCGGAAGAAGGGCTGGGTGGATCTGAACGGACCAAAGCCCTCTTATGGGCAGTTGATGCGTCGAAGAGCGCCCGCTTATGACAGTCTGGATGACAGCACAATCAGGGATAGACTACTCTGGCTGTGGGGCCGTGATGGTCCGCCATAAATAGGACAAGTGGGCTTTTTTGATAGCTATTAGCCAGCAGTCATGGTCTTTGGAATATTACTTGTTGCAATTTGGGGTCTTGTTTCTGATCTAAGATCTTGTGTATACATTTTCTGAGATGTCCTGCAGCACTACTGTGAGAACAGAGCTGCGTACAGCAGTTGGCTGTACAGTACGTTTGCTATATGAGTTTGCTATATGAAAAAAAGAGAGGGAAAAAAAGAGGGTCGGCATGGCATTAACCTGGTTATGGAGTAGGTCCTTTGGTAGTTATATCATGTGACCACATATAGGTGATACCAACTATTCAACCAAAAAAATAACCCCAAAATCAGGCAAACCATGCGTGTACCCAATGTTTTTATCCTAGTAATTATCCATCCCACATCCCTAGAATAATCGGGTACTTCCCTCAAATTTTCTTCAGTTCTAAACCTTGCAAAATTATAAAGGGCAATCATGACCGGCATCTACAGATATGTATTTCCATCACTACTATGTACCTACTACTTCTACTACTACTAGTAAGCAGCAACAACCCTCACCTGACAGCCTCCCAACCCGCATCACTTGACTCTCCTACAAAGTATGAACCCAAACCAGCTGAGTCCATCCCAATCCCCATGATCTCCCTCTCTCATTCCTCTGATTTCGTCACTTTCATCACTTACTAACACCAAATACAGGATCCCCTCTTATCATCCTCCAATGACCCCATCACATTCATCTCAGCTCCGACATCATGTGCCCGGCCCCGGAAACCATATCTTACCACCAATAGTATATACAAATGGAACAACCACCCATTCTTTCATCACTCAAGTATGAGGATATTCATGAAACAATGCGGCACTTGCCGACAATGGATTGTCGGAAATCATTGTATACTCTGTATTATATATTCTTGTTATGCCCTTGAGAAGATGGCATAGTAAGCTCGAAGCTATTTTTGTTCTGGATACTCTTCTCAACTCACCCCTCTATACCACCATATATGGAACTAGTATAGCATTCTTCCCCTCCACCACACCCAACTCCTACTATCAGATCCAATATCGGAACCTATGATCCAAATGTACCAACCAACATCATGCCTCATGCTACACATCATCCTCCCCTTGATGGAGAGGATATGGCAATGGTACGTTTCTCTCACTCTCATCCCCGATCCTCCTCCTCTCGCATCCACACACACAACCAAATCAATCCCTTTCAAACCATCCCGCACAGAAAGAGTTGAAGAGAAAACCATCCACAAAAAAGAACAACCAAAACCTACCCCCCAAAAGACTCTGAATTTGTCTCTGAGAGAACAAAAACAGAATGCCTCCCTCCAAGAAGCCCTCTCCTGCACCAGCTGCACAATCACCCGCATCCCCAAGGACATCTACTATGATGATCGCATAAAAGGCATCTACGATGCCTCCCGCGATCCGCCGTTCCTGACCCCAGGCCTCACCACCACCACAGAAGACAAAGAAATACCACCCGACGAAATACCTCCAACCCCTAAAGAAGGTAAAGGTAATAAACAAGAGCAATCACCAACATACACACACCTCCTCACACCAACCCAAGAACAATCCTACAGCACCCAACTCCAAATCTACCTCAGCCACGACCCGACAAACGACCACAAATTCGCAAAATACCTCGTGGACTACCACATCCACATACATTACCTTCTGCGTCGCAGCATGCTAGGTCTCTGTCGGGACGTGACTGATCTATACGAAATGAAAGATTGGATGAAGAGGATGCATCCTGTCAATCATGAGGATGAGGGAGTATCTGTCAGTGCTACTGGCATTTACACTCCCCAGCCCCAACTCGGACCGTCCCAGAATCTCTATTCTCTGAGAAGTCAGAATTACCGCAAACGTCAAAACCGACAACAACAATCCTACCAATCTCCCTTCTACCAACCACCACAGAGACAACACCTCCCCCGCTCATCACTCTCATCCTCCGTCTCATCATCAACAGAAGATGACCGCCCAAGCGACTGGCCAGGCGACTCGAACCGACAAATGAAATATCAAGTGAAACTATGGGATAAAGGCGCAAGAATGAGAAGGAAGCGCTATAAGGAGAGTCAAGCCCGGTGGGCGGTTATACAAGAGGAGAGGGCACGACAACAGGAGATGATTATGATGATGATGCGGAGTAAGAGGAATTTGCCTAGAAATACTAGTCCGCGTATGGTGAAAAGGGGTAGTGGTGGTGTCAAAGTGAGGTTATATTGCTCGACGCAGGTACCAGGTGTTAGTGGTGATGGGTTATACTATGATGGGAAGAGGAGGTTTTTGAGGGAGGTGGAGGTCGAGGAGATGGCGTTTGGGGAGGTTATTAGATGACTAGGAGCAATGAAATGGATATATGAATTAATGATCTTTCTGTCCGGTATAGTGTAGTGCTTTTTTTTTTTTTTTCTCAGTTTCTTCTTAATCTCCCCTCTAAATTACATGTGATAAGTGAGGGATGAGGATGGGGTGGAATGTAGGAAGGTGACCATTCATTCTTCAAGCCGGATGGATGGAATGTGAGCAAACCGGAAGCAATAATGAAGGTGCACCACCACTCCTTGACATGTGAGAGACCCCGTAACCGTGTGTTACTGTTTTTAACTGCACACAGACAATCTATCTTCATAGCATGATTCATACGCTCATATCCTATCATCAGAATCTACCTGAAATCCAAGTCATAATATATCGTATCCAACACATACTATGTCCCCCACAACGAGAACCGACCCCAAACCAAGAATTCACTCCACAGACAAGCAATCATCCGGATCAAAGTACCCGCCTGACGACCGCATCCCAAAATGCATTGCTTCAATCGCCTCGTGCCCCTCATATTCATCCTCCCCGTCTAGCCTCTCTTCACCTTCCTCAACCACATCCTGTGCGGTAAGCTGAGCAACCACCTTCTGGTTGACACGGTAGCAAGAAAGAATCTCCGACGTCACTGATCGTGTCGGTAAGGTGCTCGATTTGATCTGGCAGAGGACCTCGCCAAAGGCATGCATGACGAAGCTGGCGCGCGGATATTCGTTATATGTGTAAGACGCAAGGACCCGGAGCCACTCGTCACGGCAGTGCTGCCAGACCAGTATCAAAGGGTGATCGTCTTCCGGGGGAGGAATGGATCTGGCCTCTCCTGCAGCGTCCAGCGCGTGAGGGGAGAATGAGTCCTGACTTCGGGAAATAGCCGTGTTCCATTGGATGTAGAGTTTTCTGATCTTTTCTCTCATGCCCTTAGCGGCGGCGAATAGCTGTCCGCGTTGGCCTTCGTTCTTGATCTTTTCGCGGATCGTACGCCAGGGCCGTGTCAGGTCTTCGTCTTTGCTGAAGGATGCCTCCTCTTCTGGGAATTCTGCCTCGAGCTTGGTAAGCATCTTGTCCCGCTCCTGCGTCGCGACCTCGAACCGGAGGTAATCGATGATGTTGGATTTCTTGGGCCTTCGGCCGGGTTTCTTGTATGCGGGGAGTTCGCGTGCCCGGGGGCTGATCTTCTTGCGGTATTGCCGCCATGCTTGCTCGGATAGGTGGACTCCTGCTTTGCGGCCGTCGACTAGGTGACTGAGGAGACAGGCGAGTTCCTTCGCTTTGTCTGAGCCGATTGACTCCTCGTCGTAGGCGATCATTTCATGCTCCACGGTACAGCGACCTAGGTTTGACAGGGTCAAATTGAATGTGAATGAGCTCTGGAGGAACTCATCCATGGATTGGATGTGTTCCATGTCTACAGCATACTTGGTAAGTCCATAATGCTCCGGCGGAAACTCTGTATCTGGCAACTTGGTATTGTTGAAGTTTCGGACGATGTTCTGGTCCCAGCAAATCCAAGGTGTATCGCCATCGTAGTCACCACCAGAGAGCATATGTGCCAAAGGTATGTTGCCAACACTGGGAAAGACAATTACGTCTTTAAAATGTCGTAGCTCTGAATTCCACACTGCCTTCCGGCGTTGGATGTCTGAGGGCAGATGGGCGGGAAGACGGCCGACGAGGACGTCAATGCCATCTAGTAGGATATCTTCAAATTGCCCCTTTCCATCGCGCCAGACGTTCGAAAAGCCAAAATGAACTTCATCCTCCTTTAAGACTCCGTATGGGTCAGCAATGCAGAACGCGTATGTTGAGAGGGGCACTTCAATGCGAAGTTCGTCCACATGCCGCTTCAGGAGTTCTCGTAGGCACTTCCCTAATCGCTTACGGAGGAAATGGAAGCTCCGAGGGCAGAAGCCAGCTTCAGTAAGGCGGATTATAAACTCGGCATCATTGCTCATCCAATTTTCGAAACGCCAGGTCCTTTGAGACACCGGACCAAAGCTATCATCCCCGGACGGCCGGATTTTCTGCACTAGGCTCCGGCAGAGCACTGCGCTGTCGGATTGAAGAACGTCCGCAAATTCCTGATATAACGATTGGATTCCTAATCGAGTGAGATCTGCGAGATAATCCTTAATGTGCCCGCCGTGATCCAATATGCTCAAAAGCTGTATATTCAGATTCACGGGACGCAAAGGTTTAGACCACTTGACAACCTCAAAGGTAAGTTTCTCATCGTCTATCGACCCATCCCACTCGTGAGGATGCGGCTTTATCTTCAACTGCGAATCGGATATTTGGATCCATACGTCATCGTCAGCTGTGACGTGAGATCGATGTTTGTCGACCATCCATAGCCCTTTCGCACCTGCTATTCTACCCTGGAAGGCGCTTGGGGTGTATCCCGTCAGACCTAATGAATCACAAATCTGATTGGCCAAACTTCTAGACATCAGAGCGCAACCATCATTCATGACAGGTTTGGATACATCTGGTAATGGTAGAGTTTGCCGTGGTTGTAGGACCACTGTAGCGTATGTTTTCGAGAGAGCCAATGAGAAGCGTTGAAACAATTTGCAGTTGGTTTGCGTGAGGTTTTCTTCTCGAGGAATGTGCCAATCAATCAGCGCATCTAGGCTCATTGGAGTGCGGTTGCTACTGTCTTGATGGGGAGGTGCAATAGGAGGGACAGGGGAACCATGGTCAAAATCAATCCCGTCGATTGCAAAGAAATCAATTCGAAATTTAGGCTCGTCTGCTTTGCGTTTCGACTTGACCTCATCCACGAAAAAAGGCCTCCACGTCCTCCCTAAGCATCGATGAACATTCTGCGTTAGCCATAAACCCAGGGTTTCTCGCAGGAGTGTAGGCTGAGAGGGCAGTCGAAGATGTGATGGAGGCCGCGCCGGAGCTGGCACTGTCAGAATGAGAAACCTATCAGATCCAAATCGCCGGTGAAAGCGACAGGTCCGTTCAGTCTTTAACGGATTCAATCTTAACTTCAAGACCCCTTGTTCGGACCACTCCAAATCCCCAGTTAGTACGACAACTTCTGAATGTTTGTCAGTCCTGAAGTTCCCAATAGCTGCATCCCAAGCCTTGCGAGAGGACTTTTCGGGGAGCCGTTTCCCTTCCCGCTGATTATGCCCCTCTATCCAGCGCCAGAAATCATCAAGCGTCTTGAAAGAGATGTTGGGACCAACCAACATGCGGTCCAAGGATACACCCCACTCCCTAGCCACTCTCTCGAGTTCATATCTATATCGAAGCGTGACGGAACTTGGGTATTGATGATCGAGCGAGAATGGTCCGAACTGGAGAAGGTCTGTCATAATGCGCCCCTCGATTGAATCGCGAGGCTCCTGGAAAGCGAGTTGCTCTAGATTCTGTATTTCAGCAAGGTTTGTTGCTGTTGTTTGCTCACTCAGATAATGGCCCCCTACGGAGTCCTCGTACATGGGTTCGGTTTCCAACATTGACTCATCGACTTCAGTGGTGCTCGACGTGAACGAGGTCTCGTAGGGAGCAGTGGTCGAATAAAGAAAGCCGGAAGAAGTATCAGCTACAGTGCTGAAGCTAAAATTCGCCCGATCGTTGGAGGTTGGTGTTGCATCATAACGCTGGTAACTGTCGGAACCCCTCAGGCGTTCCACGAATTTGGAGGGTTTATCGCTGTCGGTTTTCTTGGGGCTTTTGAATATATTGAATGGCACTGTGGCGTTTGATGGCTGTAAGACCGGAAATCCGGTCCTGTTGACGTTTCCAATGGGAAGATCACAGGAGTCTTCCTTGGTTATAGGCGATTGCGGCCTGTCTGGATCCTTGACCGGAGAGTTGGGAGCCGTGTGGAATTCCTCTTCCACGGAAAGCCTTCTCTTGAGCGAGCTGCCTGATGGCGCAGGAGGCTCTTCTACCAGTTCGTCGACCTTCCTGGGAGCTGGAAAGGAGCCATTAAGCAGATAGAGTTCGTCATTGATCAATCTTTCGAGATATCGTTGGCGCTCCTCCTTTGCAATAGTACTGCTCCCGTTGCTGATCAAGATATCTCTCGAGGTGTTCGCGAATGAGCCAGGTATATGTCCCCAGCGACCACCCCCAGCAGGTAGCACCGTGGATTGGGAGACAATCCACTCCTCGAAGTCATTGAAGATTCGGTTCAAGTCCACCTTGCGGTTGAAGTATAGCACTCGGATCCGGCCATAGAGGCTCCAGCCGAGTGACTTTTCATTCTTGCCAATAGATGGAGAGAAATAAAGGGGGTTTGGGATGTCCAAACCAAATTGCTCGTTTATCGAATCGATCAACTTGTTCAATTCCTGACCAGTTCTGACTGGGGTACGGGGGAAAGTCATTTCGTGGTATAGATGGACAAGCGACGGGGTTCTTTCCCAATGCTCTGGCAGTTTCTGAACAGTTACGTTGCAAAGAAGCGATGCGCACTTGTCCTATCCAAAACTCTGATCAAATCTCCCCTGTAGTACCCTGACAGAATGGGAACCATATAAACAAATGGTTAGCTCAATAAATCAAACGGAGTTTGATCTCGGCATCATGCACATGAAATGCATTGCCCTTCTGGTCAAAGCAGACAAACTAGACTGATGCTGTTTAGAAATCGGAGTCGCAGAGGTTGAGACGAGGAACAGGGAGGGGCATGCACAACGGATGGAGATGCAGAAGAGAAAGAAAGAGGGAGAGGTGTTGAGCCCACACTAACTAACAACATCCATGACAGCTCCCCCACCCCAGCAAATCATGGCTGAATGTTTGGCGCCGTTACCGCTCAGCCTTGTGTGCTACAGGCTTATTAGTACAAATTTATACATCTACAAGGCTGGAAGCCTGATTCTGGTGATCCAGTAAGAGTGCTTGACTGCAACCGTAATTGTTATGATGATTCGAGGATGTCTCAATTTGGCCGCGCACATCTGACTCTATTCCAGGCCGTGATTGTATTTGTTGGTTGCCGTGTAAACGGACCCAGTGACAGTCCCCACTCCTTGCCCGATCAGAATGACAAACAAATTGGAGAAAAGAAAGGGAAAAGGAATATCTATCGCACATCAATCGGCCGCCAACGAATTCCACAGTGAATGCAATGGGGCGGTAATTTTGTACTATGTAACAATGTGTATGGGGTTTCGCTCCATAACATAGACCTCCCCGGTTGCTTGGACATGATCTGTTGGGATCTGCAGCGGCATCAAAAGGAACTGTCCAGACTGAAAGAGGTCCTGATCGGTCTACGTCCGGACCGATGGGACTGAATAGGGCCCTTCTTGTCCCACGGTATTCACATCTGCGGAGTGCGGCTCTGGTATGGGTGTCAAGGATCCCATATCAACATCCTGTGGTTGTACATGCTTGCTTTTGGTGCCGATCTTATACCCAATCACGAGCGTGATATAGAGTGGAATGCCTATATAGGAGGTCACGAATGCCATGCTGCGATCGATCCCTTTGGGGTAATATTCTGGGTCGACAAAGTCGAGCCCACGTATGACCGTGACAAATACGCATGCTACCAGTGCAACCCACGATCCGAACAGCCCAAGGGGCGCTCTGAAGGACAAGACCTCATCAGTGATCTTTTGAGCCTTTCTTGCTCGAATGAAAGAGAAATGGATCACGAGGATTGAAGCCCACGTCAGGATACTGAACATGGAAACCAGGTTGACCGAGTATTCAAACAGTCTCTTAGAGCCACTGGAGATATTCAGGTACGCCAAACACGCCAAAGCAGAGCATGTACCCAACGAATAGATGGGAGTTCCTCGCCTATTAGTACGGCACAGGAAGAGAGGGGCATTCTTGTCCAATGAAAGACCCTGTAGTGTTACGCTTGCCATTTGAAGAGCCTGGTTTGCAGCCGATAGCACGAATAGCAAAAGACAGGCGTTTAGGATGTGTGGAATTACCGAAGGGCCGGCTGATTGAGCAACAGCTACGAAAGCCGAGGCTGTCCGATGCTGGGGCGTATTGTGGGAAAATGCTAGCATGTGGGTGTCATGGGGAACAAGAATTCCTAAGAGCGTTATGTTGACAATATTGAAAACCAAGATGCGATAGAAGGTCACCTTGATCGCCCGTCCTGCCGCTTTTCGGGGGTTTGGTGTGCGCAGGATCGTCATTCCCATCAACTCACTTCCAAGATAGGCGAGCGTAGCGGATGGGACTGTTCTGCAAATAGCACGGACGGTACCTGCCACAGCACCCCCTGTTCCATTAGCGAAGGCCCCAGGGTCTCTCCAGTAGCGGAAGCCTTTCATATCGCGATCTGGGCCCCCTCCAAGTGCAAGGACAATAGATAGAGCCATAAGCCCTGACATCACCAGGACCTTGAAGAATGACAAGATGACTTCGTACTTCCCTAGATATCGACCGCACATGGAATTGGCGGCTATGATGACCCCTAAAAAGGCCGTAGTCCAAAAAACCGAGTATTTCGCTTCGTTATCTTGCCAGTAGGCTATCAGCAACTCCCCTGCTGCCAGCTGGTTAGGGATGACGACCATGAACTTGAACCAGTATCTATCATTCTGTGGTTATTGCATGTTGGAGGTAGAGTTCCAATCCCATTCAAGGCGGCTCACATCCATCCCAGAGTGAACCCAAGCGCAGGATCACAGAGTCTAGTCGCATGGTCCGTCATGGATGGCTCAGGAGACCACGAGGCCACCTCACCTAGAGCGCAGAGAACCAAGTAGACAACTATCCCAACACATGTATAGGAGATCAAAATTGATGCAGGCTAACCGAATTAGTAACAGTAGGTTGAAAGAGAGCGAGACGCTTACACCTGCTCTTTTTCAAGTGTCAATTGTGGCTTTCCAGGTTGGGGATTGTTCTCTTACTTGGACAGTGCATTCCCTGCGCAGATCGTCAAACCTGTATTGATAGCACCGCCAATAGCTTGGAAGACGAAAGATCAGTTCGAAGTCTGAATATTTTCAATTGGTATACTGACCAACCATGGTTATCTGTTGGGGCTTCAAGACACCGTAGGAAGCCGCTGAAAGCCCATCCTGGCTAGGAGGGCGTGTTGAATAAGCGTAGTGTTCATTCGTGGGGATAACTCTTTCAGATCCTTGTACTCCCTGGCTTGGTTGAGGCATGCTCACTTCGTGAGACGAGCATCTAGCTGAACACGCGATTAAATTGGAGATTCAGAATTCAGAGTATTGGAAAAATTAGACAGCTCAGCTAAAATGGAAGGCGTACACACGGAAGGAGCATGTCCCGGGAGCCATATGCGTGCTTTTCCGCATACACTTAGTAATTAGTTACTTAAAAGGGTAACGTGAGACGGAATTGTGGATCACGTCTTAGGTTGGATTGAAATGGCATGGGTATAAGTAGAAGTAAGTTCTGGCTTAAACGGAAAGATATCGTCCAATCAAGGCTGAAAGCCCCTCAGATACATTGGTAAATCAAAGAAATGAGTTGGTGAGTCCTACCCACTCAGACGACCATAATCCATCATAAATACAAAAACGCCGGTCTAGAGCCCCCAGGGAATAGGAAAAAAAAAAAAAAAAAAAACGGAAAATAAGCCGTTCGTGTAAGCGGAATAAGGCAGAGAAGAGAATGAAGCCATCATCGCATGGCGTGGCTTCGACAGATTGGTGTCATATACACATCGCGCCGGGTCCCAGGAGGCACGTCTAGCGTCGCCTCAAAATCCTTTTGCTGGAAAGTAGAATGCATATCCTGATTACCTCGACATGTAGAGGGAGTCGCTAGATTCCGTTCTCGGGAATATCCGGGTGTAAAGCGAGTCGCTCGATTCAGTCCGAGGGAACATCCGTTGGTGAGCCTTGGAGATTACCCGGTCGGTGTAGACACCCTTGGCCGTGCCTCGGACAACTTCCTCAAGATATTTCCGGAAGTCGTGAGGAGCGAAGTCGGGATAAAGGTCCTTGGAGGTCAAGTAGCCCAAGTACTTGGCGTACTCAGGATTGTTGTCACCGCGGACACCCCATGACAGTTGGTTTTCGGCGAGGTATCTCGGAATGAACTTGACAGGATCGAAGGGATAGGTCTCACTGGACTGCCGAGCTGCAAGCACCCTTGTGTAGATAGTCTCTTCAGGGATCTGTGACAGATGAGATCAGCTTACACCCAACAACCTGCAGCGAGTCACTGTACTTACATAATTCCTTTGGATCTTTTCCTCGCTGATCTCTTCCAGAAGGTCATAAATCTGATTCTGTGTCAGGACCGTGTTGTAGGCGAAAACCATCTTGTTCAGTGTCCGGTCATCAACAATGATCTTGGCGACGTAGCGTCCAATGTCTCGAAGGTCCGTTAGGGCAAGAGGTGTGTTGCCATCACCGACTATTTCGTTGTTCGCCGTAGTCATGGCATAGTCGGTCCTTCCGGAACCGAGGCGGGGGTAAGAAAGCTGGTACCACCAACCGATGTCAATGATGGTGTAAGGAAGTCGGAGCTGTTTGATGTGGTTGTACACTGTTTCTTTCTGGAGGAGAAGTCAGCTGATGATCCACGGAAGGTATGGTGTGTGCGGCGGCGGCAGCGACTTACCTCGTCCCTCAACCACATGATTCCACCAGGTGGTGCCACAGTGATGAAGCCACATGGGATGAATCGTTGAACTCCAGCACTCTTTGCAGCCTTAGCGAGAGGAATTTGGTCCTGCTGTTCCGCAGGACCGACACAGCTGACAACGACATCGATTCCGGTCAACACGTCGGCGAGAGACTCCTCAGGGCCCTTGAGATCGCCCTTGCGAATCTGTACACCTCGCTCTTGGAGGGCTACGATGGCAGGCTTTTGAACCGACCGGGGACGGACGAGAGCATGCACTTCCTATAATAATGAAAAGCAGTGCAGAGATTAGTCGTGGGCTCAGAGATGAGAGATAATACAAGGAGAGCAGGGGGGTTCTTACAAAGCCGGGATTCTCAAGCAGTCCGTTCGCGATGGAGCCGCCCGTTTCGCCCGCAGCCCCGACCAGCAGAACTCTAGTTCGCGACATGATGGTTGCAGAGAGTGGCAATGATTCGTAGGGAAGGATACTGATCGTTCGAGGTAATGCAAGTTTGTTGGTTGGGAGGGTTGGGAGGGGGGTGGAAGGGATTTATCAAAAGGCGAAGAATTCAGGTTTTGTCTCCCTGCCGTTTCCCAAGTATGTATTTTTGACGTTAACGTTTCCAGGCCAAATGGAGGGTCATTCGACGTTATAAAGGCCAGCGTCCCACTGGAGGATGGTCACTACCCACTTTTTTCTTATCCAGAAGTGGCCAGGGGTGGGTCGATTGTGGATGTTAAGCTCCCTAAGATACGTGCCCCCCTTAAAGGTGCGTGGAATCGGCTGGAGAAGGGAAGGGCGGCTGTCCTCCGTTCGTAGGCAGGCTGCCTGTCCTCCGGGGGACCCCATCATGCGTCATCGTATCTTGAATGCTACGATCGGGGCGAGTGCTCAGCACTGAGGGTCTTCTAGACCACTCAATGGTGGGCTTTGTCTACCATGAAAATGATTTTTGATTTTGTTGGAAGGAAACATACTTTGTAATAATTACATTTTTCTGTTTCCTTTTTTCGTCCTCGCGACCTGCAAGACCTGCACACTAACAGTATTGCTAGTACTAGTCGGAACATCGGCCCCAAAGAGGCGTTACTTCTCTGCTGCGGCCCGGTGGCTCGGGAGTCAAACACACCCAAAGGGAAATTACGTCACTCGCCATTCCCCTGCCCGGGAAGCCGTAAGGCAAGTGACGATACTGGGGTTTCATGACCACTTCTGCCCGCGGCGGTTTTGTTGCTTGGTGTCTCAGACCATTTCGAGCAAACACCACCATCATCTCCCCTATGATTCAGTCCTACCATCATCGTACCATGGCAGTGGATATCGAGTGCAGACGGTCATCCCTCCCAGTGTATCCTGGAGTCATTTCTCGCCCTGCTCGATCAATTCACTGGAAGCCATGTTATACCCAGGACTCTGACCCCTTCATGGACTTTGCAATTTTTCTTTTTCTTTTGCTTCTTACCTACGTAGAATGCGGGGAGTGGAGGGTCGGTTCCCCTCACAATCTCAGCATTAATCAGGTTGCATATTACTGCGTTTACTGCTTTACATAACCACCCCCCACGTCAGTGATCTTCGGATCTGCGTGGCGGCTTCATATTCATGACCTTTTGCAACTCTGGTAGCATGACGACATGTGGCATCCCTCCTCTGGACCGATCATTGCCATTGGCGGAATAAGCATCTGGTCCCATGGTTACACGCATGGTCCGCCAGGTAAAGAACTACCGCCCAGTGCGTTGGAATCGGTTGTGGAGGCTAGAAAAGGAGAACTTGCAACTTGAACAGCCTTGAACCTTTGTGCGCCATGACCGGGTGGTAGAGAAGTAAGGCAATAGCCGCTTATGCCACTGACCAGATCTTTGACTGCCCCTCACAATTTGTGAGCTTGCTTCCGGCGGATGACCTGGTGTTGACTGTCATCTGGAAAGATCCGATGCACACCACCTTTTCTTCCACTTTTCGAATTTACATATTCGTAGACACTAGTTCTTGCTTGCGGGGTCCAGGACAGATTCACCTTGCTGCAGACCATCCCGTCTCGCCGAATCTGACCTTCCGGATAAGGCCGCGACATCCACTCATTTAACGTCGACTCGGGCTACCTGGAACTTCTTGGTTGCATTGTTGGCTACGCTCATTCCCTAGTCATATTGCCAGGAAAATCCGGGGTTTCGAGACGTGAGTAGATAAGCGTTCCCTTGCCGTGCCTGGCATCGGATCGGATAGCCACTCAAATTTAAAGTTGTGAATACTGGCTTGCTTCCCTACTAAGTTTATCGACAGCTAGCTACAAGGCCAATGATCTCTCGAGACTAGCGGCTTGCATATTGAAATGAGACACACCAAATTGACTGTCATGATGGACTACGGAAGTCTTTGACATTACGATCGCCGGATCAGAACGGCGTCCCACGCAATGAAACAAACAGTCGGAGCAATTGATCTTCACAGCACTCCATATCGAGTATTATCTAAACGAAAGGCAGGTTCCCCGAATTGAAGGTGCAAGCCGTACCCTTAGGATACGCTAGAAACCGCAGCCTGGTCGGCCAGTAGGCTGCCCATGCCTGCCTAGCGGTCGCACTACTGCAGTCATTCAACGATAATGGGCCAATGGATTGAAACGAGGCGAAGTGGATCAACCACTAGAGAACAAACCGCGCTGGACTAGCCGCGATCAAGCACGGCGAAGGATCGTGACTATTTATTGCCGAGTGATTTCTGGGGGAATTCCAGGCGGTTGTTGGGGCATGTGAGAATTTCAGACCCTCGTCTTCTGGCTCGATCTGCAGGTCCGTCACGGCCCTTTCCGCCAATTGCAACCAGGGCCGTCCGTACACCCGCAGCAGGCTGAGAAGATGGTGCTATTCGACGGTGGGAAGTCGGTGTGAGAGTCAAGGAGAGAGGGTGTGTCCAGGGCCTCCTCTCCGGGAATTCTCTCTGCGGGTATTGGAGGAGGCGGGCAGGAGAGCTCCGAAGGCATGCAGCTAAACGGGAAATGGGTTAGCAAAAACCCCCACTTCTTCGGTGATGGTCCAGTCTGAGCCTGGTGTCCCGATAGCGTCCTTTTTCTCCAAACGGTGGGGTATGGAAATTGCGGGCAGAAGGCTGAGAGGGAGGGTGTCGTGGGAACTGGAAATGTGGGTGAAAAGCATTTCAATGTAACCATGATCATGTTTCTCTCAGGGTTACGCTTTTTCCTTTTTTTCACTTCCGCCGATGGTTGGAGGCGGAAGGTTGGCCTGTCCCAAAACGGCCACATGCCTTGAGGTCAATTACTGACTTACTTGCATTATTATATTGTTATTGGTCCCAGCGGAGTAGGATCAGATACTGGCAAACCCGTCACAATCCAACGGGCGCACAATGGTGCCATGATTGTTGGACCTCCTCTACACCACGGCTACAAAAAGTTTAACGACCACCATTGTCATGATTCATCTGAACGATCTCGACCATCATACTAAATGACTCTATCTGTCAGACGCGGTAGACAAGTGTGACCAGCTGATGACCTTAGTGTGGAGATTGATCATTCATCAATCAATCAATTCCTGCCAGGGAGCATGTGATTGGAGAGCGAGGAGTCTGTTCTCATCATCCCAGAGCTCCCAACGCAACCATTCCGCGTCCTTCAATTCGATTGATGTTGACAATTCCCTGTCTATACTAATCTCTTTAGCTCAACAATCCAACGAATGGCATGCCATACCACTCCCGTCTGCAGATGGACTGGAACCTCGTCAGCGATGAAACCGCCGTCTACTTGTATGGTCGCTTGGCAGTCGCTCGTTCGTCTATCCTACTCGATAACAAAAGCCACGCAGATTGGCGGCATTCCCGACCGCGCTGCTCTCGGACAATTACCCGTCACCGCACACCACCCCCTTCAGCCACTCTTGGAGGGATGTTGAGCTCAGGTACAATTCCCTGGTCACGAGGGGAGATTGCTCAAATTTCTGATCCATCTTGCCATCGTCCGGCCACTGAACCAAGAACGCGGCAGTAAGACATTGGTATTGTCTTTATCCGGATACTCTAACGGGTGACATCGGAAGGAAGCCTTGATCGCTTTTGTTGTGCCTCCTTGGCGGCTACTGGACAGCCCTTGATTACATCGACTCTAAGTTTCAATCGAAGCGCAATATACATCCAGGACTAACTTATACTACCGTGTACCCCTAAATGCTCACGGTGCACCTCTGCTAGGTATAATTCACATATAGCCTGCCTATGCAAGGCTTTTCATGCGACTACTAAAACCACGCTTCGGTTTGGGTGTATACGTGTGTGAATGCTCGTTTGTTAACAATAATGATGGGCAATCTCATTGTAATTGGAATAATACAGCTACTATGTCAGACTATTCTTATGTTATAGATCTCTTGGGCCATCTATACATATCTTTGGATAAACCCAACAACTAACAGCATAAAAGCTAAACACAGTAAACGGTCTGTCAGATAATAATTAGACTATACTCAAGTCACTTGATGGGAAATAGCGGAATGAATGACAATTGTCCGCCCTTCAGTGCTTCCCAGCACCTTGATGCGGTCGTCACAACATGCCAGCATCATCACCCAACGGCCGGTTATTCGGTGGTCTGAATCTTATTTCAACTACCATTTCACAGTTTCATGTTGGCGTCGACACTAGCCCCAACGACAAGTTACAATCTACCCCGGTGACCTCGCAGATCTCAGTGAAGAGCTTTGCTAGTGGACAACAAAGCTTATGGCTACTGGATCGGTTGAGTATCAAGCCGGGTGTTCACTTCGCTTTTCGTTCCCGGGTACTATTGGGCTCATTATGAATCATCTGCCGACCCCTGTGCCTTGAGCAGCGACACCGGGCGGTTTGTTAACAGGCAGTTAAAAGAACAACGAAATACCATTAACTAGACCTAAGGAGCATACAGCATACGGATTTCTGATCATTCAGGCGTTGCCTGCTACAATATGGAAACACGTGGAACCATAAGAGTGGTCGTGAAAGCCTTCAATTTCAAGCTACTTGTCCGTCATTGTTGCTAACGGCCATCTGGTGCTCGTTGGTGGGACTACATGACTGATGGCATCAGATAGGTCGGATTGCACGGAGATCATGATCTAGCTTATCGATCCTCTTAAGATAAAGTGAGATCTTGATTAATTTGAACTAATGGCACGGTCTAGAAGCTTTGGGTGGGATCTCGCCTAACGAGCTAGTCGTCGTCGGCTAGACTAGCAACCCCCTGTGTGTTTGGATAGTTTCAATTCGTCGGTTGCGGACCATGCGGGATGATAAGGGGTATGGTATTCCGCTTATACCTCTTGCGTATGATGTCCATTCATCTGGGCCAATTACTCGAGGATGGGATAAACAGGTTAACATATAGGTACCGGCAGTGTGAGGTGCCCTGTACTTCTTCTCCCATGACCGTCCTATATCTAGCTGATGATCTGGCTATGGTTATCAAAAGCATAGGTTCCTGAAAACGCCCATGATAGTAATATGGTCTTGATACGTCCCCTTGCGAGTAAGGCACATCATTATGGCTCTGAGCTCCCCAACGGGGTCGTAGTTCCCTTTTATGGCATGATCAGGATCAGCTGTGAAGTCGGGTTTCCTAATGGGGTGTAGCGTCTTTCTTCATTGTCCTCCGATTTCAATTCTAGTAGTCTCCAGACTACCTTCTCCATAGCATCAGATTCCAGCCCAATGTTTCCATTATCCATTATGCTGGTTCCTGGTCGTGAAGTAACAGCATTTACGGCACTTTATCAAGCCTGATAGATTCCCCCTTTCCTTCTCCCTCAAGCCTCATGACTTCTGCTGAGCGGACTTGCTCCGATGTCATGACGCCTTTTCTCAACCAGGTAAGCCGGCTAAACAACCTCAGATGGACGTGCTAGATGTCTGTTTGCTAATGCCATATATACGAAGTTCACATCCAGGCCCGTCGACTAACATTGTGATAAGCATAAATCCAGATCAGAATCAGCATATAGTGGATTGATCGACTACTTATCAAGATTGATGGTGCTAGTACGTAGTAATGTGGATGGAACGGGGAACTGGGGATACCCCGGATCGACGACCCCCACGCGGGGTCACCTCCACTTCTCCGCTTCATACTTTCTAGCACTATGAAGCATGCTCGAAGACATCATGCCTCGGGAACTCTATAGTTAATCCGCCTACCAGGTTTACATCCGTCTAAAGCCTGAAGCAGATCGTCATCAACCCTTGTTCTGATCGGCTTTTCTCCGATACTTCTTGCCTCCTATCGTCCAATTAATGGCGCCAGATACAAGCTATACCCCGGATCATCAATGACGGTGAAGAGTATGTGGCTTGGTTTGCGTCGGCATATGCCGTGCTGGTCGGTACTCAAGGCCTAGAGGCGAGATAAAGAATGTTTCTCTCGTCTAGACAGCTTCTGAGACCCCCACGTTGGCACAAAACCCCTCCAATGATTGGTAGATGCCCATACCTTGGAAACTAACATCCAGGACCGGGGCATGATGTGAAGGACAAAGCTCCTACTTGCGTTGAACATGAAGCAGGGGTCTTTTAGACATTATAATCATCCTGTCTTCCGGCTCGCCCTTCATTTCATCCAGACTGAACCCTGAGCTCGATCGTCTCTAGGTCAGCATTGATACAGCAACATAAATTCCGTGTTAGAAGATTCTTAATTACTTTCGCTAGCTTCATCAATCATCAATATCATACAGATACTATCACCCTAGCTACCAATATGACGGAGATATCGCAGTTCAAACCAGAAATCGCCCATGAGGAAAATATAGGCCATCCTGCAAACAATCATGAAACAGACTGGGTTAAGAAGCAGACGTCTGATGGCGATGTTGCTATGACGCTTATTACGGACCCGGATGCGCTTGATGAGCCTGTTGATCCGGCAGAAGTAAGGAAGTTACTGCGGAAGATCGATTTCATGATCCTTCCCTATTTGGCTGTTTGCTATGCATTCTTCTACATTGACAAGGTACGCGGCTCTACTTTCCTTGCGATCTATCCTTGCAGCGGCTAATTGTAAATTGCCATAGACAACCCTGAGCTACGCGGCAATCTTTGGGATTGAGGAAGACCTCAACCTCCATGGCACACAATATAGCTGGCTATCGAGTATCTTCTACTTTGGGTTTCTGGCCTGGGCATTTGTGAGTTGTATCACCTATAACATAAGATCCAAATGCTAAAATCCTACTAGCCCACCAACTTCCTTTTGCAACGCTTACCAATTGGTAAGAGCGTCGTTTTCTGTACTGAGGTACGGGCTAACTGTGCCATCTAGGAAAGTATCTTGGTGCCAATATATTCCTGTGGTATGTCAGTAAACGGGCCGATGTTTTCGAAGAATATGCTAATATTATGAAGGGGAGTATTCCTCATCATACAGGCAGCATGTCATGATTTCACCACGCTCGCTGTGCTGCGAGCCCTAGGTGGTGCAGCAGAGGCATGCGCGGACCCAGCTTTCATGCTCATCACTGGTATGTGGTATACGCGACGTGAGCAGCCGGTACGCTTAGGTTTATGGTACACTGCCAATGGCTTGGGAATCGCGCTTGGTGGTCTTCTGGGCTACGGAATAGGGAACATCAGAGGTGCCCTTCCTTCGTGGAAGTACGAGTTCATCGTAATGTATGGACATTTCTAAAACATATGGTCCTTACCACAATGCTAACCTATCTTCGTCAGTGGCTCTCTTTGTGCGGCCTGGGGAATTGTCATGTTCATCATCCTGCCGGACTCGCCAGTTACTGCGCCGCTTCTCACCAAGCGGCAGCGCCGAATTGCCATCGAAAGAGTCAGGGAGAACCAAACGGGTATTGAGAACAAGCATATCAAGCCACACCAGATCTGGGAAGCGTTTACGGACTACAAGCTCTACATCTTCTTTTTCTTGGGTGTAGCTTGTGAGTGACGACCTTGTAGCATACAAAAGTTGGTTACGCTGATTGTCTATTTACAGGCAACATTCCCAACGGTGGTATTTCGAACTTTGGAACTATTATCATCCAAGGTTTTGGGTTCTCCACGCTCGTGACAACATTGATGCAGGTATGGAAGTCTCCAAACAGACGGTTTAGCTAAATACTGACAACATAGATCCCTTACGGAGCGATAATTGCGTTATCCATCCTCCTCTGCGTGTACCTCAACGACCGTTTCGAGAATAGGCGCTGCATCTTCATCTTGATCTTCCTCCTCCCGAACATTGCAGGGGCGTTCGGGCTACGCTTTGTCCCACAGCATGTCAAAGTCGGCCGCTTGATTTGCTACTACTTGACCGGGCCATACAATGCTGCCTTCGTGCTGATTCTCAGTATGCAAATCGCAAACACAGCCGGTACATTACCCCCTCTCCCCTCCTCTTTCTCCTCCTCTTTATCCTCCTTCTCCTCTATCAATGATATGTTCAGGCCTAACGCCGCACAGGACACACGAAAAAGGTCGTTAGCAACGCAGTCCTCTTCCTAGGTTACTGTACCGGTAACATAGCAGGACCCTTCTTCTACAAGGAGAGCCAAAAGTAAGCTTTCCGCTGACCAGTGTATTGGATACCACTAAAATTATTGGGATAACAGGCCAACCTATGATCTGGGAATCTGGTCGATGATCGTCTGCCACCTTGTCGAAGTCGTGCTTATTTCGGCTCTTGGTCTTTTACTTCGCTGGGAGAACAAACGCCGTGATCGAATCCAGTCCCAGATGGCTGGTGGTTTGGAAGGGAGAGATTTGGATTCCACGGCATTTCTGGATTTGACGGATAGGGAGAATCTCAAGTATGCCATTCCTTTCTTCGCTGTCAGGGTCTGCCATTGTACATGTGATGCTAACTGCTGCCTTTTGATAGCTTCCGGTATATTTACTAGCTTCTTTCTGCAACGCGTTCTTTCTTTTGGCAGTTAGTTCTGTCTGGAAATCTTATTTCCAGCAAGCCGTTGATCGGTATATCCTGGCGCAACATGAGATTAGAGCTGTCACCAAACTCGCTAGAGTTCCATATATCTAGTCTCGAACCTTTGGGCTAGACAGTCGTAGACGATATGGATAACAGGAAGGTCTACATGTCCCAATCCATTATCTTTCTTTTCAAATACTTTCTAGTCCAGATATCATGAACTGCAACAAACATCTCAAGAACCATCTATATCCGCCCAAAAAGTAAAACCGGGACTGAAATTCAATATACACACATATGCTAGTAATAATACACA